CTTTCTTTAGCAAAACAGCCCTGTGAGGAACAGAAAGTGCGGGAGGCGAGGTGATTACTAAATATATTTTGGGAGGGCCTCTCTGAGCGGGGCTCGTGTATGAGCAGAGGCCTGAAGGAACACACACCCAGTGACCCAACAGGGACATGAGAGGGGGGCACCTGGGTGGCTCAGTGGTTGGGAGTCTGCCTTTGGTTCAGGTTGTGATTCCCAGGATCCTGGGATTGAGCCCTGCATCGGGCTCCCCGCAGGGAACCTGCTTCTCCCTCTGCCTGTGTCTCTGCCTCTCTGTGTGTCTCTTATGAATAAATAGTCCTTTTTTTAATAAATCAATTTTTAAAATTTATTTTTATTTTTTTAAAGATTTTATTTATTTATTCATAGAGACACAGAGAAAGAACGAGAGGCAGAGGCACAGGCAGAGGGAGAAGCAGGCTCCATGCAGAGAGCCCGACATGGGACTTGATCCAGGGTGTCCAGGATCACGCCCTGGGCTGCAGGCGGCGCCAAACTGCTGCGCCACTGGGGCTGCCCAATAAATCAATTTATAAAATTGATTTTTTTTAAGATTTATTTATTCATGAGACACAGAGAGAGAGAGAGAGAGAGAGAGAGAGAGGCAGAGACACAGGCAGAGGGAGAAGTAGGCTCCATGCAGGGAGCCTGACGTGGGACTGGATCCCGGGACCCCAGGATCACACCCTGGGCTGAAGGCGGTGCTAAACCGCTGAGCCACTCCGGCTAATAAATAGTCTTTTTTTTTTCTAATAAATAGTCTTAAAAAAAAAAAAGGGCACAAGACAGAATGATAGGAGAGAAATGGGCAAGCCGTGCCTGGAGAGCCGGAAATTTCCGTGCATTTTCCGTGCCTGGAGCCCAGGGAGAGGAGCGTGGAGGACTGTATCATGCTGGGGTCTAGGCAGCGTCAACCTGGCTGTTGTTGCTGCTTGTATTTAGATCCTGATGAGCAATTCTGCTTCCTCCTCCAAACTTAACACTTCAGTCCTGTCAGCTTTCTCCCTTGCTCACTACTCCCCAGAGTGGCCCCTGGAAAGTCAGGCAGGGGTGAAAGCTGGAACAAGGAGCCCCTGACGCCAGTGGCGCAGAACAGTCCAGTACAGCAGGTGCATCCAGCCAGTGGTGGGGAGAGAATGTGGGGGCCCCGTGGGGCGGCCAAGCCTCAAGGTGGTGCATATCACATCCCAGGACAACGTCACACGGCCACTCGGAACCACAAGGAGGTTGGCACATAGTCCAGTCGGCTGCCAGAAGGCTCGAGAACCAGGCTGGGCTCTGCTGTAATTCTTTACGCCCTTCAACTACCTCGGCCTCATCAGCCTCATCCAGGCGATCTTGATTTGTTCTGAGCACCCGTGCTGTCAGGTCTTCCTCAACTCCTGCTTCCTCGTGCCACTCACCTACAAGACCAGAGGAACCCTTCGTGTCCACAGTGAGATGGGCGTCACTTGGTCTGTGCTGAAGCCCAGCAAGCCTACCTGGAGTCCTTCCTCCTCGTGGGAGGCTGCTCAGGTTCCTTTATAGCAGCGTCCAGACACCACGCTTGACTCGCTTCCAGCCCACACCTCTCCTAACCCTGCACCTCCTGCTGGGTGGGGGCGGAGTCTACTTGTCCCACCCCAGGCGACCTCCCCCAGGACCTGGCTCAAGTCCCATCTGCTCCACCCCCCACACCTGACTTTGGATGTAGAGATTTCTTAAAAATAAAATATTTAGGGACGCCTAGGTGGCTCTGGGTGTGATCCTGGAGACCCGGGATTGAGTCCCACATTGGGCTCCCTGCATGGGGCCTGCTTCTCTCTCTGCCTGTGTCTCTGCCTCTCTCATGAATAAATAAAAAATCTTAAAAAAAAAAAAAGTTAAAAAAAAATCTTTACAGGTGGAGCACCTGGGTGGCTCAGTTGGTTAAATGCCTGATTCTTTTTTTTAAGATTTTATTTATTTTTATTCATGAGAGACAGAGAGAGAGAAAGAGGCAGAGACACAGGCAGAGGGAGAAGCAGGCTCCATGCAGTGAGCCCGATGCGGGACTTGATCCCAGGACTCCGAGATCACGCCCTGAGCCGAAGGCAGACACTCAACTGCTGAGCCACCCAAGTGTCCCATAAGTGCCTGATTCTTGATTTCAGCCCAGGTCATGATCTCAGGGCCCTGGGATCAAGCCCTGTAACGGGCTCCCGCTGCAGCAGAGTCTGCTTGTCTCCCTCACTCTCTGTCCCTCCCCCTGCTCTAAAATAAATAAGTCAACTTAAAAAATCTTGGGGAGCCTAGGTGGCTGTCAGTTGAGCATCTGACTCTTGGTTTTGGTTCGGGTCACAGTCTCACAGTGGTGGGATTGAACCCCAAGTTGGGCTCTGTGCTAAGCGTGGAGTTTGCTTCAGATTCTCTCTCCCTCTCCCTCTGCTACTCTACTCGCTCTCTAAAATACATAAAATATTTAGGGGTGCCTGGGTGGCTCAGTTGGTTAGGTGACCATCTCTTGATTTTGGCTCAAGTCATGTGATCAAGCCAGCAATGGGCTCCACACTGGGCATGGAACCTGCTTAAGTCTCTCTCCCTCTCTCTGCCCCACTTGCAGCCACCCCCCATGCATGCACTTCCTTTCTCTTTAAAGGAAAAAAAAAGGGGGATCCCTGGGTGGCTCAATGGTTTAGCACCTTCCTTCCGCCCAGGGTGTGATCTTGGGAGTCCCAGTTCCCATGCATCAGGTTCCCTGCATGGAGCCTCCTTCTCCCTCTGCCTGTGTCTCTGCCTCTCTGTGTCTCTCTCATGAAAGATAAACAAAACCTTAAAAAAAAAAAAAGGAAAAAAAAACCCTTAAAATTCCCAGGTCTCATAAAAAAACAAAACAACAACCCAAAACCTAATGACATCAGTTTTAGATGTTTTAAAAGTAGTGTTTGGAATGCTTTCAGTAGCAAGTGGGTTAGTCAACAGCACTACCATCTAGTACTTACATATCCGTCCTGTTGGCACACAGAATTGTTCTTCCTTCCTTAACAGCGATGAATAGCCTAAGATATAGTGGTAATTCAGGACTTTGATGCGATCCATCTTGGTGGTAAGCACATGATTCGCTTGCCTCAGGACTCTGGCTGGAGTGAGGAGCCCCCAGGACTCAGTTTAAGAATCCTCTGATGAGGGGATCCCTGGGTGGCACAGCGGTTTGGCGCCTGCCTTTGGCCCAGGGCGCAATCCTGGAGACCCGGGATCGAATCCCACGTCGGGCTCCCGGTGCATGGAACCTGCTTCTCCCTCTGCCTGTGTCTCTGCCTCTCTCTCTCTCTCTCTCTCTGTATGACTATCGTAAATAAATTTAAAAAAATTAAAAAAAAAAAAAAGAATCCTCTGATGAGGGATGCCTGGGTGGCTCAGCAGTTGAGCGTTGCCTTCGGGTCAGGATATGGGCCCAGGGTCCCAGGATCGAGTCCCATAGCGGGCTGCCTTGAGGAGCCTGCTTCTCCCTCTGCCTATGTCTGCCTCTCTCATGAATGAATAAATACAATCTAAAAAAACAAACAAAAGAATCCTCCAATGAACACACACACCAAGAACACATACAGGATCTCTTTGTCCTTCAATGTAAAACAGGGCTCAGACCTGGAGAATTTGTATTTCATGGAAATACAGACTCTTAGGAATGAAAGTATTTCCGAGGTGCCCAGATAACATTGCCACTTTCATTTTTCCTAGTTATCCAGGCACATTGGTAAAGCAGAGTTCAGCCTGAAGATCACCTGCTGCAAGCAGGTCAAGGGGACAAGTCAAGGAAAGGCAGACCACTTGTACCCCCTGCCTTATCTCTTTCCAACATGCCATGCGTTTGTGCCCTCAAGCACCTTGGAGTACCTGAAGGTGGGGTCTGGTGCTGCAGACTGCCTTGAAGCTCTTGGTAGGAGCTGTCACCACCTTCCGCTCTATACTCATGTTTGAAGGAGTCTGTTCCAAACTCCCCGGTCAGTGAGCCATGCACATGCAAGCTCCAGCCAGTGCAGGGCCACCGAGGTGAACACAGTGCGAGGGCACTTCAAGGCCGCTTTTCAGATCCATGGTGGAAGGAGATATAATCACCAAGAAGCCTGTGACCAACTGTGCAAAAGTATCAACATTCCCATTAAGGGTGATGCTATTCTGAGGTCATTAGTCAAACAGCAGAAAGTCTCATTGACCGTCATTGCCTTAAGTTTACACTCAAATGGCCCCATTTTGAAAACATCTGCTCAGCTTCAGAGTAGCTAGCACGGGGTGGGGGGGGGGGGGGTGGTGGTGGTGGTGGTGGTGGTGTCTGTGAGACCGGCGGCGTCCAGCAGGGCAGTGCTGACAAGTTCCTACTCACAGAGGTCTCTGCAGAAATGCAGGAATTGGAAAACTATAGCCCAAATGGGGCAGCCGCAAATGTGGTAGTAGGCTGAACTCGACCAAGAATCTAAGTAGAAATTCCTTGGGTTGAGTTTCTGTTCACGCTTTTCCTAAACACTCCTTGTTCTGGTCTATGCCAGCCAGTATGCTGTGGTTAGGCCTGGCCTCACCTGCAGCAGCTAGCTGAGGAGACAAACATGCTTTAGCTACTGGGCACATGGAGATTGCTTCAACACAGACCATCCTGCACTTCTGTCCTTTATTTAACAGGAAGAAGGGATGAGGACTGGGCAAGCGCTGGGTCTAGACCAGAGTTTCCAAAGTGTGGTCCATAGTTTGTCAGAAACACCAGGCATGCCTGTCGGTGCTCTCAGCCACCATCTGGCAGCACCTGTGGGTGGTGGCTGGGCATCCATGGTGACCAAGCTCCCAGGGATTCTGATGAGCAGCTGAGTGTGGGCATCACGACTCCAGGGGCCCAGCAAGGTCCACATGCTTCCCCAACAAGCTAGGGGGGTGGGAAAAGATGACACAGGAGTCCCCCGACACCCAACATAGCTTTTAGGTTTTTATTTTAAGTAAGGTGGGCGGGGGGGGGGATAAAAAAGAGAAGAGATACAGAGTGAAGAATTCATTGTATGTTTATTATTCACAGTTAATCACTACCTACCAAATGCTATCCGCAGAGTTAAAGGATTAAGTACATAGGTCTTTTTATTTAAACACTGATTTTTTTTTTTAAATATATACACACAAAACTTAGTTTAGCAAGGCTTCATGATATACACCAATTCCAAAATAAAACAATCAAATGGTCCAGGTGTAGAATGCCAGAGATTCCTTTTATCATCACTGAGGAAAGAAGCTACCAGAAAGGGAGCAGGGGGGGGCAGATGCTGTGTCCAGAAGAGCAGCTGCCTCCGGGGCTTCTGAGTACTCCAGGCTGAGTCCGGCTCCATAACCAGAGTCCAGGGGAGACTCCAACCGACCACTTCAGAACCCAAAGGCTGTCACCAACTCCTGGGCAGCCCCGTTTCTGTTGCGGGCAGGGGATTGGGTGGAGAAAGTTCACAGGCACATCACTACGAGGGACAAGCAGCTGACAGGGCAGACAGAGAGAGCTCTGCAATGTCCTCGGCCTTCCTACATTTCCCACTTGTTCTTCCCCAACTGTTCCTGCTTCACGGACACATTTCCTTGGGGGGAAGGGTGGAGCAGCTAGAAACACAGCCCACTGGGAACAGAGACACAGAAACCCAGCTGCTTCTTGAATGCTGCCCTAGTGCTCACCTGGGCAGGTCAGGCAGGCGACACAAGATGAAAGCCATGGACAGATACCTCTAACTTTCAGAGCAAGAAAAACGAAAGCTCTCATTTTCCACCCCAGTGTTGGAACACGGTATAACCTGATACAGTCACAGAGCGACAGTCTAAATTCCTTGGGTTTCCTGTTTGAAACTTGCTGGCTCCAGGGATTTTTTCTCTGGGGGGCTCTGGAGCTGAGGAGGGGCAGACAACAGCTGGGATCACAAGGTCAAGGACTCTGACCACCCCCCTGCAGCCAGATCCAGTCCAAGGTGGGAAGAGCTGGAACTTCTCCTTCCTCCCCAGCAGATGGGGGCTCTGCACCCCTGGGGCAGCCACAGCAGACTCCAGAGGGCTGACAAATATTAAAGCTGAACCTTAAAGACTCATGGCTGAGAAGAGGCGGACCTCCCGCACCCTCCACCTGTGCCTGTAGCAGCCGCTCCTCTGCCCGGAGCCCGGCTCCCCCCACCCCCAGAGAGGACTATTTACACAGAGCAGGAGACAAACTGGCTGGAAAGCTCTGGACTGTCTTTAACTTATTTTAAAACAAATAAAAAAAACACCACTCATAAGCAACTCTTGAAATAAGGAAAAAGGCACTATGAAAAATCAACATGCTCAATAATACCATTTGGAAAGGAAAACAATGTAGAAAAGAGACAAAGGTTTTTAGTTCGACTTTTCTCAGGAAGCCATGAGGGGTAACAGTCCTTCCTCTTGCCCCCGCTCCACTTCCAGCTTTGTCACAAGATGCCTGCGGCCGGGGGCTGCCCCCCCACGCCTGGCAGACACTGACCAGTGAGGGCCGCGGCCCAGCCGCCCTCTCCTCTGTGTGCACGAGGAACACAGCCACGGCTGTCCTTCCTTCAGTCACTCCAACTACAACAGACATTTTGCATAGAGAAAATACCAGCCCACTTGGTTTCTTTTCTTTTATTATTGGCATCAGCTAGGACTATATGTGGCATTAGACGTCATGCACTGATGGACAGAAGAGGAGAGGGATGAAAAAGAGGACAAAGGAGAAACAGGAGCAGCGGTGAAAATTTGTAATAAAAACTCTTTTCTTAATTTATAGGTAAGTTTTGGCATTTTTATATCCAATGCCCCCCCCACCCCCCCAAAGTTCCAACCAAAGTGAGAGGGTCACCAGGTGACCCAGCCAGGTGTTCTGAGCTCCCCTCATGGGCTGCTGTTAAGGCAGCTCGGGGGTTTAATTCTTTTGTATGTGTTTTAAATTTTTCACTTTCTTTAAATAATCTCTTCTTTGATTCTTAGACGTTCCGGTTCACAGGGGTGACGTAATTGCGGGGAAACATGCCGGTTTGCCCATGGCAGGCCCCTTTCCACCAGTTGGGGTCTGAGTTATCCATGACGTGGATAAAGTCTCCCCGACGGAATCCCAGCTCTCCATCCTCCTGGGGATCAAAGTCAAAGAGGGCCTGGACGTACGTCGGTTGCTGTAGAAGACAGGCAGGGAAAGAACACCCGCTAGGTCTCTGCTCATGGGCAGCCCCTGCCAGGTGGGACCCGGCTCCACAGACATGTGCTGTCTTCTTCATGTTTCCCGAGATAACCTCCCACTTCTCCAACTCCGTTTATCCTTACAGGTCCTAAGTCTACTCTACGTGGGTGCAGTGTATTTTCACCATGGCTCACAACACGCTAGAACATGCTAGGGCACAGCCCTCCACGGCAGCCCGTGAACTGCCACCCCATAGAAAACCTGGGAACCAGTAGTCAGGCTCTGGTTTACAACTCTAAGCCTTTGAAAAGGCTTTAGTTCCCATCGGTGTATCGCTTATAAAGTCCTTAAGGTTTCAGAGTCAAAAGGCCAAGAGCTTGACTAAAATAAGGTGGTGCGCCCCATAACACAGGACTGGGGCTTTGGCCACAGGAATACAGGAGTGAGTGTGGACTCCACTCCCTCACAAACAGGGTTTTCCTCCTCACTTGCTTCCAGGGATACAATACTGCAGAGGGTTAAAGATGTTCTACAGAGACGTAGGTGGTAACTGGCAACACACCGCCACGAAAGGCCGCCTCTGGAAAAGGCCAAACCATTTTGTTTCAAACTACACATCTCTGACACAAACTAAAGATACTATTTTGGGGCAGCCTGGGTGGCTCAGTGGTTTAGCACAACCTTCGGCTCAGGGCGTGATCCTGGAGTCCCAGGATCGAGTCCCACATCAGGCTCCCTGCATAGAGCCTGCTTCTCCCTCTGCCTGTGTCTTTGCCTCTCTCTGTGTCTATCAGGAATAAATAAAATATTTTTTAAAAATTAAAAAAATAATAAAGGTACTATTTTGAATGATGGGCACAGAAGCCCCAGAAAGAATCCTTTGAGAGGGTACCTGCCTGTCTGAGGAGCTATTCTTAATTGCTAAAATTGATCCCAATCTCTTATGAGGCTTACCTGTGGCACCTGTTCTATGTCCCGGAGGAATATCTGCTGGTTTCTGGAGACAGATGTAGATCTGTGATAATCGACCAGCTCGTTCAGAGAATTGAATTTCACCACCCAGAGGAAATACTTCCCGGCTCCATCTCGGAGCACCTTGAAGTGCTGCACATCATTTCCAAACCTGGAGGGGCAGAGAACACCGAGAACAGGTCTGAGGGCTCCATCCTGGCTATCTGGGGGCTAGGTGCTCCTCACATCAAGGAGGCATCTTCTGAGAACTAGAGTTCTGGCAACACTTCTCATGGCCTGAGGGGCCCAGACTGCAGAACACGATCCCCTGGCTGCAAAGTCAGGACGCTGAGTGCCCCTGAGATCCTGCCAGGGGACTGATGACGACCAGTGACAACGGGAAGAATCCTTGCCATATAGGAAAACATTGTCCATCAGGTTATTTCTGAAGATGTTCGTAAGATAAAAAAAGAATATCCTAACCTATGGCATGTCTCCAAATGCCCTGCGCTGTGCCAAATCAAACAGCCCTATTCAAGGAAGAGTGTGACTTCATTTACTTTTCAAGCAAAAAAAGCATTAAAACTTTACAGGACATTTAAAGATGAGAACAGGTGGGGTAGGAAAGTGAGAGAGGAGGGACTGGACATACTTTCAACAACTCTCCTGTAATTGGGAAGTGTAGATTATGTTTTCCATTTAGGAATCTTAGTTCTACTCACAGGTGAAAGGTCTCAGAACAACATAGTAGGAAAATAAATATAAGAGGCCGAGGCACTGGGTGCCCAAAGATGTTTCTCGATCACCTGGTAACATGCTTCCTCTTATATTGCCCTGCAGAAGCAGGAGTACAACTGGGTGCTGACCACCCCCCGGGGAACAGTGTTATGTGGCTGCTATACCAGCCCAGTGAGGCTTTGCCTGTCCTGCTCACTGCTGGGTCCACAGGACAGACACCAGGGCTCAGCCCTCAAACAGTACTCTAGGAAGATCTATAAATGAAGGACACAGTCTTTCCTCTCCTTCAGTCTTAAAGGGAAAGGAAATTAAAAACAACCCAGCAGGTGGCAGCGCTGGGCTTCAAGTAGGAGATCCCAGGCATCCAGGACCGGTATATAGCTTTTCCTGATGCTTTTCCTGAGAATCTGCCTGTGGTGAGGAAGGAGGGCACATTCCCCAGAAGATTATTCCCTCTAGTGCAATGCAAATGGTTTGGTTCTTATAAGGCGTAATGGGTCCCAGACAGTGACCTGTTAACAACCACCACGTTGTTTTTCAACACTGACTCCCATCTTGAAATGAGAGAAACCTTCTAAAGACTGTAGATTCTTGAACCTCCTTTGAGAAAGTGTTTGTGTTGTTAAAGGCAGTAATGACATCGGTTTCAAATTTTATTTCTGGAACAATAATTGCACGGATTCTTTAAAGTTTTTATTTGATAAAATGGAATGGTTTGGGAGCTTGCCAGCAGCTACTGTATGAGCATGCGCAGTGATTAGTGATAATCAAGGCCTCCACTGCACACTACCTGCCAAGGTGGCTTTGGCCATTACTCAGTTAACCTGTGAGTTAACTACTTGTACTCCTCATTCTATACTGTCCTCTACTCAGGTCAGTATAAAATGTAAGGATAACAGATGACAAAAGACAAATTAGCAAGAAGCATTAAGATAGTAATTCTACCTCAAGATACTCTTTCCCTAGATCCTCACTCACATGTGTTTATAACTGAGTGCATCAGAAGGCCGCTGTTGCTGTGTGTGCTGGGAAGGGGGGGTTCCTGGGGATAACCACTGTACCTGCCACACAGTTTTGCTGTGAACCTACAACTACTGTAAAAAAATGAAGTCTATTTAAAAAAAAAAAAAGTCATTGTTAAAAGAGGAAAACTCTGAAAATAATTAGATCCAGTTTGACTTTTTCATGCTGGGACTAAAAAACTCACTTATACAGGACATGTATCTGTGTGGTGTTGTGAATATGGCCTGAAGCCACCTCCCACACCTTCACAGAGGGGAAAAAAACCCCACAAAAACAAAAATTAAGTTTAAATCTACATTTCAAAAACACTATACTAAAAAAACCCCAAAAAACAAAAAACAAAAACCAAAAAAAACAACCAAAAAACAAAAACACTATCCTGGTCCTAAAATGAAACAAGATATTCAGTTAATTTTGGACACTGAAAAATCTTTACATTGTGTGTAAATGGCAAACTCTCTTATGGTCTTCATTGAAAAAATAACGTAATCTATAGTAGCAGTGATCTAAGACCCAACCCCTTCAAGTTTTTATTTAAATTCTAGTTAGTTAACATGTAATCTTAGTTTTATAGGGGAGGAATTTAGTGATTCATCACTTATATATAACACCCAGTAATATGAGCTTTTAACCTAATCATGCTGTCATAGGAGTGATTTTTAAGATTTACAGGGGAGGGGTTCCTCTGATAATATATTAACTAGAAAGGCCTTGACAATTTGATTAAAAATACTTATTTCAGAGATGGGAAGTAATTTGCATGAAATCCTCAAAGCTCCAACTTATGTTCTCAATGATTCCTAGGGTGGTAAAGCTCCCTGTCTTCCCTATTCCTTGCTTACCAGCTCCCTTTCACATTTAAATTTACCACTGGGGAAAGCAAAACACCCTCAAACCCTTGTGATAACCTTTAAGAGTTGAAGAGGCCTAGGATGGTGTTGGTGGATTTATGCCAGACATCTGCTGAAGGTACAACAGAGCCAGCTGCAAGGGTGAGCAGTCACGCCACCAGAGTGAGATCCCACAGAGGGCAAACGAGCAAAGAGCTGTGTGCAAGGCAAAGGGCACAGCAGAAAGTGGGGATTAGGGAAAACATGCTGCTACTCACCAACTGAAGGCTGTTTCCACAGAGCAATCTAAACTCAGTACTGGTAGAACTAATTTTTGAGGAGTCAGGAATTACTATTTTAATGTAAACTATTCTGCTTTATAAAATACAGTTTAGGCTAACCCTCTACCAGTTGGCAATCTTTGGTGTGTGTAGCCAGACACCTGGCCTGTGGCTTCATGTTTCAGATGAGGAGGGAGAGGACTCCAGGGACCAGAGCGGGAAGCACTTACTTGACAGAGAGGGAGAAGTCCCCGGGGGCACTCTCACTCTCTCGGATGAGAAAGGCCCCGTCATGCCGCTGTTTGCTAAGCATTTCTTCTGCCTTGGCTCTGGGGATTTTGCCAAAAAACCACCTAAGGAAGGAAGACAAGCCAGTCAACATCTGCTTCCCCACAAAGAGACGGGATATCCAGCCTCCGAAATGTGAGTAACAGAACACTCCTTGCCAAAGGAAGGGGCCTCCTGCTTCACCCTCCAGTGTCAACATGCCCCACAAAGCCATTCAGTCAGCTTCTCCCTCGAGACACAGACCATCTCCCTTCAAATGACATTACCCTACCCTACTCTCCCCAGAAAGTGACTCACAAGGCATGATCATGGGCCACCTCTTCCTAAAGAGGAAGACAAAGATAGGCCTCCTAGGTCAAAGCCCACCGCGCACCCTACTGACTCATCAGCAGGGCACTGGGGAAAGCCCAGGTCTATCAATATGAAGTACCGGAAGAATCACAGAAGGAGGGACAGGCCTCTTCTCGCAGCCATTTGACAAGGTCAAACCTTTGGCTACAATGGGATTAAGGGAAATGGAGGTAGGAAACTGGAAGGCCCAGAAACTGGAGACAGGGCTACTTCTTGTAACAGCCCAAGGCAAAGAGGTTTGGCTAAGAGAGCAGCCTCTACCTACTATCACAGAGGCTGGGACTCCTCTCGATGCCTTTCTGAAACAGAAAGATGTGAGCTGCTAGGAAGATCCTATCGGAAGCTGCCATTAATTGGATTAATCTTTAAACATCCCTAAATCTACCTTCTTGTGTCTTTCTCACGTTGAGTACTACAATGCCAGGCTGCTGAGTAGCTGCCAGGATCTAGCTTCTAGCTTCTACAAATAACTCACTGGTAAACCCTCCAGTGCCTGGAAGTCAGGCCACACGAGAGAAATTACATATTAATACAACAGAGTCATCTCCAACTATGAAAGGACAGCTGACTCTTCTAAAACCATTTAACTATTTTCTATTTTAAACTCTAGTGCTTTCAAGCTTGTGATGGACTTGCAGGCAGTAGGGATCAGTCTGGGGTGGGGTAAAGTCAGCCACCCTCTCTTCCTCTTAAGCCCCAAGATTTTCCCACCAAGCAGGTATTTTCCTTTCTTTTCCCCTACTTTAAAGTAATGAATATGAATTTAAAAAAATAGCCTAGATGTTTGTGAAGTAAAAATAAAAAGCAAGACTTCCCTTAAACTCCCCAGAGGCAGCAAGTGTTGGCAGTTCTGCGCTCTGATTTTAGGCCTCTGCTTCTGATGTACACACACAGAGATGCGGCTGTAGGGTCTTCTAGCCTCCAGCTTAAGATGAACTTATTTTATTTTCAATGAATAAAGATAAACTGAAGTGAAATAAAGTATTCTAAATTGGAATTTTTACAAAGTAAACACACCCCTTACACCTAGGGTGAAAAATAGAAAATTAGCTGGAGACCATTTTATTAAAGACTTCTTTTGTATCTGCTTCCATTTTTATTAAATTCTGTCCTGGGACACCTGGGTGGCTCAGCAGTTTCGCACCTGCCTTTGGCCCAGGGTGTGATCCTGGAGACCTGGGATTGAGTCCCACATCGGGTTCCCTGCCTGGAGCCTGCTTCTCCCTCTCTGCCTGTGTCTCTGCCTCTCTCTCTGTATCTATCTCTCATGAATAAATAAAGGTTTTGTTTTTTTTTTTTAATGTCCCTCTTTCTCTTGAGGATATTCCACAACATAAGGGGTATCACGCCATCTGAAGAATAGCAAGTGCTCTCACTTAAGACATTTTTTTAAATTTTTTAAATTTTTAAAAAAGGATTTTATTTATTTATTCATGAGAGACACAGAGAGAGGCAGAGACACAGGCAGAGAGAAACAGGCTCCATGCAGGGAGCCCGATGTGGGACTCGATCCCGGGACTCCAGGACCACACCCTGGGCCAAAGGCAGGCACTAAACCGCTTGAGCCATCCAGGGATCCCAAGACATTTTATTTTATTTTATTTTATTTTATTTTATTTTATTTTATTTTATTTTATTTATTTATTTATTTATTTATTTATTTATTTATTTATTTTTATTTTATTATTTATGATAGTCAGAGAGAGAGAGAGAGAGAGAGAGAGAGGCAGGCAGGCAGGCAGAGACACAGGCAGAGGGAGAAGCAGGCTCCATGCGCTGGGAGCCCGACGTGGGATTTGATCCCGGGTCTCCAGGATCGCGCCCTGGGCCAAAGGCAGGCGCCAAACCGCTGCGCCACCCAGGGATCCCCCCAAGACATTTTAAATAGTGATACTCAGGTGTAACTACATGGTTAAGGTCAAAATTTTTAAAATCTTTAAAAGATGGGTTTGTACTACAACACAAATAGCAAAGGAAAAAGCCAGTGGAGGAGGTGGCTCGTTTTCCATTTTAAATCTTCACTACATTCCACAGGCTCCCATCCATATGCACTCAGTGTGAAAAGCACATATCTGGACCTATCCCCAGTACGCCCAACAATCTGTGTTGCAACACTAGCCAACAATCGTTTCCTAGTTTGTGTTTAACTGGTTACCTCGAAAGCTGTATTAGGTTGTACTGCACTGGAGACTTCCCTCTTCCTAACAAAAACTAAAGATAGAGGGACCCCTGGGTGGCGCAGCGGTTTGGCGCCTGCCTTTGGCCCAGGGCGCGATCCTGGAGACCCGGGATCGAATCCCACGTCGGGCTGCCGGTGCATGGAGCCTGCTTCTCCCTCTGCCTGTGTCTCTGCCTCTCTCTCTCTCTCTCTCTCTCTCTCTGTGTGACTATCATAAATAAATTAAAAAAAAAAATTTAAAAAAAAAAAAAACTAAAGATAGGGGGAGAGGAAGGATTGAGGAGAGAGGGAAGGGGGGCTTAGTGCTCTGTACTCTCTCACCACTATGGGAGGGACACGGATGCTGTACTTATGGATGTCCAGTCACAGAGCAGTCCCGGAACATGATGTGTGCTGCAAGGCCAACCACTGCACAGGCCCATGGCCATGGTCTTTTCAGCAATACGGTTTCCTGTTTCTGAGCTTTCAGCAGAGAACACTCCCTCCCTGCCTTTCAACTAGACTCTGCAAAAACCACCACCATGGAGGCTGTCCTCCTGGATGTTTCCCGATCAATTACTATTCCAGAGTTCTTTAGAGTAGATCTTTTAAAAGCACTAGGCAGGAGAAGGAGTTTCCTTAAGGGCTAACTCAACAATTGGGCAACTGGGGCAGAAACTCTGCTTTCCGGGGACAGAGGCCTTTCCTGTGTTTTCTCAAGGTGGATTCGAAAGGCTTATGTCACTTCAAACAATCTGAAGGAAAACAAAGGTTTAGAGCCACTGGTATTTTACTGAATATAGAAATTATAGTATTATGTTCTAAATTCTCTTTCAGCCTAGAAATATGAAAAGGAAACAAGCTGATTTTCCTTTTTTTAAAGATTTTATTTACTTATTCATGAGAGAGACACACACAGGCAGAGGGAGAAGCAGGCTCCATGTAGGAAGCCCAAAGTGGGACTCGATCCGGGGACCCCAGGATCACGCCCTGAGCTGAAAGCAAGCACCAAACTGCTGAGCCACCCAGGTGTTCCCTGAAGCTGATTTTCCTATCACTGGATCAAGTACAGAAGACAGGCAACTATGGCCCTCAGCCCAAATATGCCCAGTTTTTGTATGGCCCACAATCCAAGACTTGTACAAATTTTTAAGGGTTATTTTAAGGGGGATCCCTGGGTGGCTCAGCAGTTTCGTGCGTGCCTTTGGCCCAGGGCACGATCCTGAGTCCCGGGATCAAGTCCCATGTCGGGCTCCTGGCATGGAGCCTGCTTCTCCCTCTGCCTGTCTCTCTCTATCATAAAATAAAAATAAATCTTTAAAAAAAAAAAGGGTTATTTTAAAAACTTCAAAAGAATATGTGAAATGACAGAGATTGCATATAGTCCTCAAAGTTTAAAATATTTATTATCTGGCCCTTTACACAGTTTAGCCAACTCTTGATGTACTCTGAGGACAGACTGATGGAATAGATGTATATAGAATATCTGGCGTCACTCCCACTCTAAGTATCCACTATCCAACTGCTTCTCCCATGGAGTACATTCAATGATGCTGTCTGTGAAAAGCCCACACAGCCCCCAAAGCAAACATGGACACTAAATGACCACATGAATGCAAAGCTGTGCTTAGTATACTTCCCAGGACATCTGTACTAGTCTTGGTTCATCTTTTGGAGTTTCTTGGTTATCACCATGTGTGCCTACATTTTAGTAACCTGGGCATGGTTGTGTGTAAACTCCAAAACTAATGTTACAGGGACTTCAAATGAGGGGGATTATCAATCCACTGATAGGGGTCTAGGAACCTCTGCCACATACACCTTTTAAGATTTTTTTATGCCTACTTTATTTTTATTTTTTTTAAAGATTTTATTTATTTATTCATGAGAGACAGAGAGAGGCAGAGACACAGGCAGAGGGAGAAGCAGGCTCCATGCAGGAAGCCCAAAGTGGGACTCGATCCCGGGACTGGGATCAACCGCTGAGCCACCCAGGCATCCCTTACGCCTACTTTAAAAAAAAAAAAAAAGAAAAAGGCTAGCATTTCGCTGATATTTAATTGCCAATGACTCCTATATTACTCTGTGGTTTTCTATATTGTCTTTTATAATGAGAATCAGATTCATAAATTACTGTCATTGAAATAAAAATACCAGCAGCTTTCCTAATTTTTAAGATAAAAAAAGGAATGAAATAGATGATTGAAGGCCCCTTTGAGCTCTGTGTAGGATAAGATGTGGTTAAGATCTCTGTTCTGGTGGCTTGGAGGGGTGATGGGGGATGACAGACACACATGAGAGCAATGACAATGAAGACAGGGACAAATGGGCTGTCACTCAAGGTGGGTCAAGTCATCTAAAGGTCTTATTTACCATTTGTGTTAAATTAAGTAGACAGAATCTGCTGCTCCTCTGTGTCTCAATGGCATTCTAGCCTAAGCACTGAGCCTCAGTTCCCCCTGATGTGCAAGGGATGGAAGGACTGCTTCTGAAGGAGAAGCAGGGCCTGCTAAGGGTGGGAGGACAGAGGTCTGTAAGGGCTCCCAAGGTCCAGCCATGTCACCGATCAATAAAAACTGGGTGGAGGAGGGCATGTTCCGAGGGAGGGGGAAAAAAAAGTTCATTACTCTCAACAGCCTGGGGTAGATGATTTTGTTTCCTCTGAAGTGGGAACACTAAGCAGTAGGCAAGGATAGGGATTATAATAAGCATTTACTGGGAACCTATTATACTGCCAAGCACTGTGCTCTAGGGATACAAAGATCATTAAGATATAGTCCCTCAGGGCAATCAAACATATTAACAAAACCATGTGATAAGTACACTTTCTAAAACTCAAAAAATGGAGAATTATGAAACAGATCTGGCCTCAAGGGTTTTAGGGAAAACAATCAAGGAACGGTATTTCTGTTGTTTTATTATCTGAGGATCAATGACAGCTATTATCGATCCAAAACATATATATTGTTATTATTATTATTATGTAATCGTAGGTAAACTTTTTTAAAGATATTTATTTATTTATTTATTTATTTATTTGAGAGAGAGAGAGGAGGAGAGAGAGGAGAGGGAGGGAGGGAGGGAGAGAGGGAGGGAGGGGAGGGGCAGAGACACAGGAGGAGGGAGAAGCAGGCTCCCTGCCGGGAGCCTGACATGGGACTTGATTCCGGGACTCCAGGATTGCGCCCTGGGCCAAAGGCAGGCACTAAACCACTGAGCCACCCAGGGATCCCCTCGTAGGTAAACTATTGTTTTAAACGAAACAATTGCTTCATTAAAGATCATCAGCAAGCATTATCAATCTAAACATACGATTGGGCACCTGGATAGCTGAGTCAGTTAAGCATCCAACTCTTGATTTCAGCTCAAGTCATGATCTCAGGGTCCTGAGATCAAGCCCTGCAACGGCCTCTGCGCTGGGCGTGGAGTATTATCATCATATACTACTACTGACATGCAAAATCCACATGCTTTATTAATTCTCTAGGAAGACAGAGTAAAAGGTGTGACAACTCTCCGAAGGATCTCAATTTAAAAGACATTATAAAATAAAATAAAAATATTATTTGGAATAAGCAGATGGGTCTGACTCTTGGAAGACCAGTAGAGTTCAACTTACGGATGTGGTTTCATTTCTATGTAATTCTTGGGAATGAAGCCATCTTTCCCGTTGAGCTCTGCCTTGTACCAGTTCTGATCACATTCTTCATTCAAAACCTGAAAAGAAATAAGGGGAGGGGAGAATCAAATAATTTCCTTTTCACACTCTTAAAAAGGTAGCCACTAAGACAATTATGTTGCCATTTACGTTTGTTCTTAAAAAGGGTTATTTGAAGTATGGTCAGTTACATGGATTCAAGACTTCAAATAACTTCAAACAGCAATAAATCAACTCTTACAGTTAAAATTAAAAAGTGAAATAAATGGTCTCTGAAAATGAGAGTCTGACCCCCTGAGTACCTAGCAGTAACCCCTCAGTAGGAAAGTAGACGGGAGAATGACAGGAAAATAATAGTTTGTGGAAAACAGCAAGCACTGATGCTGGAGAATGAAGGGAGCCCCACAAGGATGAAATAAGCTTGCTCTCTGGGAGAGAGGCAGAACAGAGAGACTTTTAAGACTTCTCTAGAGCTCCTCTGGTCCACCTTCAGAATCACAGGAATCCAATCCTGGGTCAGCCACCAAACAGGTGTATCAGGCTGCTGTTTACATGCATCATCCACGTGTCCTCATGCACAAAACATATTTTAATCAAAAAGCACGGCATTTCCTACTCCACTCACCCTTAAGGCCACAACGTGTTTGAGTCAGGGAATGCTGGAAGGACAACAACCAGCCCAATTCAGGGGGAAGACCCAGAGACCATAAAACTTAAACACTGTATTCTCAAGAATGAAAAGATTCTCTACAAATGTGACATGACCACCCAAGGTTATGAGCTGGTGAATTACACACAGATTTGTAGATCCCCAACTGCTCCTTGTGAGTTACATGGATAGGCTAGGCTCATGATACTGCAGAAGAGTAAAAGGAACAGAACAGGAATAGTATAAAAGCCACCTCTGAATTCTAGATTCTAGGACAGTATTCTGTTATCTACCAAAAAGAAGAATGTGGCCTAGTAATCACCTCCTAAAGCATTATCCTAAAACAGCAACAAACCTGTAGGCTTATTAAGAAGAGTTTTTCAGGGGATCCCTGGGTGGCGCAGCGGTTTGGCGCCTGTCTTTGGCCCAGGGCGCGATCCTGGAGACCCGGGATCGAATCCCACATCGGGCTCCCGATGCATGGAGCCTGCTTCTCCCTCTGCCTGTGTCTCTGCCTCTCTCTGTGTGTGACTATCATAAATTAAAAAAAAAAAAAAAAAAAAAGAGTTTTTCAAAATGTCTTTAAAATTCCCCAAAATGGTGCGTTATATATCTTACTCTAAAGATTTCTTGGAAGACAGAGTAGAGTCAGGCTGACAAGTAACTTAGGCCCATCTGGGCATCAAAACAGAGTAATGTAACCACCTGGAAAAGACCAGTTTTAATTTGTGACCAATAACTTTGCAGAATAGGCTGTGTTATTACATACTAGTTCATACAGCTGCACATACCTATCACCTTTACTAAGATAGAAGCAAGCCCCCTAAAAATATTCCCCCTAATAAAATAATTTATGGGACAACTTGCAGATTTGGCACCAATTTAGAACTATGGTTTTCTGCAGAACAAAAGTATTACTTGGTGTTTAGTATGCTTTTCTCCTCAGGAAGACAGGGAAATATGGAATTAATGCACTTATTTTTAATGCATGTGAATAATTCAAATGTTGGTTCTCTGAAACATTCTAGTATCTAGAATATCATTTTGCCAGAAAGTCAGAATTTTTGGCACAAGAGAAAGAGTGATCCTGCTAGTTGGGGCCACTCTGGGAGTCAGGGACCACGTCTTTCTGCCCAGCAGCTCCACTCATACAACAGCATGACATGCAAGCCCTGTGGCTCAGATGACTTAACAGATATTTCCAAATTAAGTTTTATCCAGGGCAGCCCCCGTGGCGCAGCGGTTTAGCGCCGCCTGCAGCCTGAGGTGTGATCCTGGAGACCCAGGATCGAGTCCCACGTCGGGTTCCCTGCATGAAGCCTGCTTCTCCCTCTGCCTCTCTCTCTCTGTGTCTCTATGAATAAATAAATAAAATCTTAAAAAAAAATTTTATCCAAATGTCTAAATGCTTAAACAGCAAAGGACACAAAACCTAAGTGAGTCCAAGGTAGAGCAGAGAAGGGGACCAGAACCACTTGTGGATGAGTCTGCACCTACAGGGACAGTGTTCACTTTCCTATGGACTGACATGAATACCCACGCCCTTCACACAAAATTTAAAAAGCCTCATCAGAGTTCTGAGAATGAGGAAGTACTCCTCTCACCACTCCCCACAATGGAAGGTACACTCACTCATCCATTCCACCAAACGAATAGATGGTGGCGTTTTACAGCCAAATCTTCAATCTTGAAAACCTAAAGCGATGTTTTTAGGTTTTACCCCATGGCTGCAAGTTCTATTCCAACCCTCATATTCCCTCAAATTAGGACTTCATAGCTATATAAGACACTCCCATTTAACGGAAGCAAACTGATCAAGAGATGAGATTATGAAAGGAGGAAATGACAAGTTTCAGTGACTTTTTCTTCTTGCAAAAAAAAATAAAACTTTCTTTACCATGTGATTCTACTTTTCTATATCATACAATTTTCTTTTTTAAGATTTTATTTATTTATTCACGAGAGACGGGGGTGGGGGGTGGGGAGGCAGAGACACAGGCAGAGGGAGAAACAGGCTCCATGCAAGGAGCTGGATGCGGGACTCCATCCTGGATCCTGGGATCACACCCTGAGCCAGAGGCAGATGTTCAACCGCTGAGCCAACCAGGCATCCCCAATCTGAGACCATTCTTAAAGCAATGCAAATTTCCATTTATACCAATATAAAGTCAAAGCTTTCTAAATGGTTTAACAAAACACAATAAAGGTCAAAGATTTAGCCCCCCAAGGATCCCTAGGATTGAGGGGGCCAAACACGTGAGTTCAAATTCCAATTTTACCAGTGAACTAAGTGACCCTGAGCAATTGACCATTGTCTAAATTTTGGTTTTTCCACCTAAAAAGTGGTGGTAAGAGCTACACCTCCCAGGGCTACTGAGATGATTATATGAGAAAATGTGATGTGCAGTGTAGCAATCAGTACAGATTCATGATCATGGGCACCAACAGCATACATATGAAGATGACCGAGATTCTTGTTTTATTCTGAAAACATACAAGTAAGAGACTCTAGGCTTATTTCAAAAAAGGTTTTAAATGCAGATTTCCAGGATTACAAAAGCTAATTCCTTTTTTTGTCTCTTCTCCTATCCTGGGAGATACGATCTGTACTTAATTTTCTGCACAAACTATGGAAAAGGTATCTTTTAGGAAAATGGTAGGTAAATATTTTGTTTATAAATTGCTAGTTTATTAGATCGTTATTTGAATTATGGGACTATTCTTTTGCTGAACATATTCAGTTATTCAGAATAAATAAACAAAAGAAATGATGTTTCTGAAGAGCAGGGGTAGTGGGGGAGAGGAGGAGAAAGAATCCCAAGCAGGTTCTAAACCCAGTGCAGAGCCTGATGCAGGGCTTGAGTTCACAACCCCAAGATTATGACCTGAATCGAAATCAAGACTTGGTGGCTTAACCCACTGAACCCACTCAGGTGCCCCAGAAACCATGATTTTTATTTTTCAAAAGATTTTATTTATTGGGGCACCTGGGTGGCTCAGTGGTTGAGCATCTGCCTTTGGCTCAGGTCATGATCCCGGGGTCTTAGGATCAAGTCCCACATCAGGCTCCCCATGGGGAACCTACTTCACCCTCTATGTCTCTGCTTTTCTGTGTCTCTCATGAATAAATGAATAAAATATTTACAAAATAATAAAGATTTTATTTATTTGAGGGAGTGAGAACACAAGCGAGGCAGGGAGGGAGAGGGAGCAGCAGACTCCCCGCTGAGCAGGGAGCCCGTTGTGGGGCTTGATCCCAGGACCCTGAGAAATCATTAAAAATAAATAAATAAATAAATAAATAAATAAATAAATAAATAAATAAATAAATAAATAAATAATAAGTAAGTAAGTAAGTAAGTAAGTGTGTGTGTATGGGGCGCCTGGGTGGCTCAGTTGGGTAAACATCTGACTTTAGCTCAGGTCATGATCTTGGGGTCCTGGGATCCAGTCTTGCATCAGGCTCCACGCTCAGAGGGGAGTGTGCTTCTACCTCTCCTTTTGCCCCTCCCCTCACTCGTGCTCTCTCTAAAGAAATAAATAAAATCTTAAAAAAATAATAAAATAAAAAATGTCAACTGGGATGTTGGCAAAAAAATAATAATAATAATATTAAGTATGCAGTACAGTTTATGGAGTAGGCCAATCCAAAATTTTATCAATTTGTAAAGCAACTTGTGTAAGGGCATTCACACATGAAAGATCGGCACAATGACACATTTAGGCTCTTATACATACCCCCCCTTACATGCCACTTTTATGTGATCCCTGCATTAGAGAAATTCAACATAAGCCAGTGAGTTTCTCCTGCTCTTCAAGGTCAATCAATCCCACAGGAAAAATACTGAAATCCTGCCATGACATGAAGACAGATTAAGAATTTGGTGATCCTAGCATATTAATTCCAAGTTCTTAGAAAAGAGAGAACACACACACTGTTTAAAGACTTGAACCCTTAAAAAAATGTGACCAGGGCCCTGGCTAGGGTAACTGCACTGACAGCCACTTAAAATCTGTTATCTTCAGCTGTTATATATTTTATTGGAGACTATTAGTCTTCAACTTTAAGACTCCCTTAGCGTGGATTACTGATTCGGGCTCAGACTGCACTGATTCACCACTAACACTTTAGATAAGTGCTTTACAATCACCACCTCCGTCTGTTACAGGTTTTGCTCAACGTGAAAAACATCTTGGTTGTGCTGCTTTCTCTACAGCATGCCAAATCATGAAAAACACCCACACTGTAGATAAGCTATTCTCATTTTAACGATGAGATGCCCAATTTAAAGGCAGTTTAATAAATAATAAAGGTTCCTGGTCCCACAGAAACCTTCAAGTGTTTACCCAAGCGCACAGAGAGCAACAATTCTCAAAGTTCACGCTTCCTGGCCAAGTCTCCAGGCTGAA